CGATGCGTGGGTGCTCGATGATATTTACTGCTAAGTAGTCGATGCAATCTTGCCGGGTGGCAAGAAGATCCGCACTGGCTATACGTATCGGATTACCGGGTAAATCTCCGAGGGATTTCATTCCGGTTATTATGTCGCGTGGAAGAGGGATCGCGTTTGAATCCATCGGTTCTCAAATGACTCGATTTTGTATCGTTCAGCCTTATATTATGGAATCTTTAGATCATCGGAACCTTAAGTCAGGCAATCTAAGGCAGCTCGTTGAAATTACGTAAGTAGAGAAAGAGAGAAAAAGAGAGAGAGAGAGAGAGAGATGGGGCAATGTAAAAAAATATATCCTTAAAGAACTTTTGATATAAGAAATCTCAAACTTCTAGATTTTTAAATGTACGAAACTTTAAAATTTATAATAGATTTCAGTCATTATTTAACTTCCAAGACCTTTGTATTGGATATTTTATATATTCAAAATAAATCAATAAGGAAACCTATATTTGTGTGCGTGTTTTCCAATATCGGGAGATTATTTATGACCACGGATGCGTAACTTCCCGCGACTCATGCTTAATGCAAATTCGCGTATAACAGCAACAACAGTTTGGGTGAATATATTAATTCTCTCATGCCCGGGTAGATCTGTGAAATAATAATCACGATAACGTGAAAGCTACGGGAGATTATGATGAATTTCGCGTTTCTCTCTAACGTAAATGGCCTTTATGCGATTTTTCATGGAACCGGAGCGCTTTCAGAATCCGCGAAGCTCTTTGACCTTGTATAATTGCAACGAGGCCGCGGCTTCTTCTCTATCCCGCTTCCTCTTCATTTCTTTCCCAATGCCTCTCGCGTAATACGCGCTTCGTTCTAGCGCGAGGTTTTATTAAACGAGAGAGAAACAGCCGCTCGGCCGTCAAAAAGCGGCGAATATGTAGACGGTATGAACGGCAAGCAGAAACTCGATACGCGCTCTTCGTAATTTTTATAAGCCGTTCTCGCGACAAAAAATTCTTTCTTTTTTTCGAGACCATTTTCCGCGCATTCCCCGTTCATGTGCGGCTCTATTAAGATTGTCGTTCAACCACTATAAAGCTGCGCAAACACATTCGCTATGCGTAAATAAATAATAATGGGCGCCGCTCATGTAGGGCGTGCACCTACTGGTGTTAGTGAGCTGTGCCCTAATTGCTCGTACATTAGAGAATCTGTTTTTGCAAAACAAATTACTTCCCGTGTATGTGACGAGATCGTGTTTATTGCGAAATCTCATACATAAAGTACGCGTCTATTTATGAGCGCTGTTTATGTATATTTATGAGCTCTTCTTTGAAGATTGATCGATCATATTATGTTGTCATAATTTTTTTATCAAATATAATAAATAATAACCGTCGCAGTATTATATAACTTCCTCTTTTTACATCATACATTTTTCGTAAGAACAAAGTCGTTTGAAAATGAGAACTTTGCATTAGCTAAAGCTTATCAGTGAGCTTGTCAAATTGGAGAATAAAATTCAAAAGTTTGGAGACTTTGTAGTTCTTGCGGTAGGTACGTGATACTATTATCAATATACAATTCGTAACGGCATCGGTATTCACGTCACACGTGTTCGGACCACACATTTAGCTCTAAGTGCGTCTGACGCCAAGTGTCGCCTAATACAAAGATCGCGTTCAACGTCAATGTGCCACCAGAATCAGATAGTCCCATTTAGCGTTAAACGCGTGGCGCGAATACGGGCTCCAAGTGCTTCTCTTTCTCTCTCGCCGTGGCGTTGTAACACACGTTACAGTATACGATAAATTACGAAGAAGGGCAACGTGCGCCGTACCAGGAGGGTCAAGATCGCTCCGGAGGAGAGAGAGCCTCGGAATGCCAACGATCTCGCGAACACGCGGCGGGTCTGTTTGCGCGTTTCGCGCATTCGCCCACGTTGCAGTTCGAAGGAATAATTATAGGTCTTGACAGAAAAGGGACAGAAAAAAAATAAGAAAGGAGAGAGGGGGAGACGAAGAATGAGAGATAAAACGAGAAGGAGCATTTGGCAGTGGTAACGGTGGCCGATATATCGCCGGAGCCCACTGAAAAATAAACGGGAACATCCCATTCGCGTTCCCGCGCCTTCGGTGCATCGACGACGGAGAACCGGCGCACGTGCAACGTATCTTTCTATCTGATACGTCCGTCTCCACGACGGGTCCCAAACGTCCCTCGCGGCTCTCTCAGGACCGCCGCGGTAATTCTTTTCTGCGGTAATTACGCGGTTGATAAAATGACAGCATTTCGGTCGACGGCCAAACGATCCCATAAGGTCCACGTCTCAATCGCGGTCTTAATCGACCGAGAGAACGAGGGCTGAGTAACGTTTCCTTTTTGTGAAAGCGTATAGACGTATATAAATTGGCTATAAAAGAGAAGATAAGTTAGCTATTACCTGAAGCCGCGAGAAAAGAGGAGAAGTAGAACAAAATTTTATTTTAACAATGCTAGACTTTTGAATGGAAAAAAATAAAGAAATATAAAATTAGAAATGTTGATGTAAAGAAAAAATAGTTTTTAATTATTTAACTTCTGAAAAAGGATAGCTTAAATTAAAATTGCCACTCTAAACTCTAGTTAGAGTAAACTCTTAAACTAAAGACACATATGGTATTCACAATTATTGGATCAAATTATTTTTAATCTAAGCGCGGAATAAAAATAATCGTGGCGCGAGCACGAAGCTGCGTTTGCACGCCGCTCTCGTCACACGCATCGTTGACCGATGGCAGGGTTCGATCCATTAATCTGTCCATTCAATGGACCGGTCGAAATAATGTGATTAATAACGGGACCACACCCCGCGTCATAAAGTACGCCGCTAACGAGTGCTTAATAACATTCGTTGACAAACGTTAGTCCAGATAATTGTGAGTCCGTGCGCGAGATTGGGCGTCGCGGGATTCCGCTATGACTCCTTGTTACTTCCGAGATTTATGGCGATCATCCTCCGCGTTAATAAAGCCGCGCGTATGAGATTAATGTTCGTTACGACGCGTTGGGAAATTGTTAAAACGATCAACTTTTAATGAGTAACGCGGCATTGCTCTCGTCGCTTATTCCTCGGCCATTGACCTCACGGTCTCTTATTTCAATTATCTATCAACGAATGATTTGACCGTTGTACACATGATTTGACTTATGTACACATGATATAAAATGAATGAAGATTTTATATGTACGCATAACTGCGCTACTACTTTAATAACGCGCAACTTTCTTACGAATAGGGAAGAATATTTTCGCGTATATAAACGCAACACATTGCAAAAGTTTAATTAACCCAAAGATTTAAGTTTTACATTTAATTTTTACTTTGGCAAACGTTTCAGACGCATGAAAAAAAAAGAGTTCAATAACTGAATTTATCGAGTCAACTAAATTTCGCGATATATTGGTATCAGAGGCGATACTCTCGCGCGTTCCGCGGCTGTTTTTGTCAGTTTCAAACAACGGAAATGTTCCCTCGCACCATGACGCGTGTTATCGACAAGGTATCAAGCACTGTATCCCCACGAGCGACGTCGTCGTATCGCAGAGATTGCTGCGATATGTTGCACACATGTAGCACGGCGCCTGTTATTACGGGGAACAGCGTCGAAACAGAACCATCAATTAGGCGTTTGAAGCGAGACGAAGCCGTTTCCGCGCGCGCGGCGCGGCGAGAGTCGCAAATTAATTCCTACCAATTCTCAGAACGGATAAAGCTTCCTCTAGCGAGAAACACTGAAGAGCCATAAGCCGCCGTGATTAATTTAACACGTTGACCGACAGTGACGAGTGTAACTAACGTGGTAAAGTTCACCCTGCGAGCGGGGCTAGGTCCGCGCGCTTTTAATTCACGCCGCGCCGGTCACATCAAAGAATCTCGCTTTTGCGGGTAACGCGTTTAAAATGAAATAAATTCATGTATTGTTATTTTTTACCTTTGTATTTTTTTGTGTACGTCCCTCAGGCGTGCCGATACCTCTGGCGAAGATTAAAAGTTCGACATGTATATATGTACATCGTAGATTTGCATCGTAGATTTGCAATTACGAAACAAGCGAGAGGTGTGCTTTTGTGAACCTGTGCAAGTTATTGATTAATGCGACACGAAAGCATGCGAAATTTCGCACGTCCTTCTCCGAATATTACCATAGAAATGTCATTTTAGCGCGTCATCCTCGCGTTGTTAATACACCCGGCGGCTCGAAATAGACTCGTGCACATAACGCCGGAAATCACCGGTTCTCTTAGTCAAGTTGCGGTATGTCACGTGCGGAACGGTTTATAGGCACGTCGTAATGCGTGATTCCATAGGGGAACGTATAATAGTAATGCGTCGTGATTTTGCAACTGCTAAAATAGCGATAACAACCGCATCCGTTCGGGATACGCGCGAAGATATCCCTCGCCGGATGAGCTATAAATGGAATTAATGGAATGCAGTAAACGCTAATAAAAACATGCCTCTGTCGTGGTAAATATTCCACGTCGAAGTCAATCTCGATTCAATTTTATGGCATCCCAACGAGAATAAATAGCAATAATGATTTAAGCTATTACGTAAGGTGAATTGAGTAATTCGCAAGATATGAATATAAATTAAAATATGCGATGTCACTTAACTTTACATCTAAAAATAATACAATATAATCCATGTCTATTTCACTGCAGGGAAGCATCGGAAACAGAAATCGTGACACGTTAGATACCGTATACTTCAATGACCTGTATTGACGTGTCCACTTAAGATACATGAAACGTAACTGATTATGCTTGTGAAACCGTATGAATGCGAATTAAATTTAACGAACATGTTTGCGAATCGTCGAATCAATTTACGATATCGATAATATTGTTGACGCTGCAAGCCTCAAATGTGTTTCAAATAAAACGTGTTAGATACAGGCGTAACGTAAGATACGGGTCTGTGTTTTTTACATATTTTAATATACAGATTTAAATGTTGAAACTACCTTTAAAAGCTAACCCTTGAGGCTTTATGTTAATTCCTTGCGTGGCGATCAGCCGTGATGTTGAAACGCAATCGATACGATCGCGAATCCGAGAAACTGTATTGCAATTTATATCGAGATTAAGCGACACAGTGACCCTGTTGCGGCCGATCTCATGAATGATTTCTCGATTTCGTCGAGCGGTATCTAAATGTATGCAACTCGCTCGGCCTTCCCCGGCATCGGTCCTACCGACATGCGGTTGTGCACTTCGCGCATTCGAACGCATAAAACAGTCGCGGGGTAGCAATCGCGGAAACCCTTATCAATAACGAGAATTATATCTCCGACAAGCTATGCGAAATGCTAGGCTATATATCAGGAGACTTCGTATCGCGGGTCTTACACGGTCTTTTTCTTTCGAACTAAACTTTAAGCACTTATCACGATCACGACTTTTCCCCAGCAACTTTACGTGCCAGGTTGTCCGACCGCGGCAACAAAGTCGGCGACGCCGTCGGTCGTCGCCCGACGGGCCCGTCGGGTCGTCGTAAAGCCCGTCGGGGCAGATAAGAGCGTGTAACCCATTTTTTTTTCGAAATTATCTTATGACGCCGGCGTCCCCGAACCGCCTGACGATGCGGCACAATAGCCGCGTTGTTCTCAGCGCCGACCGGCTGCACCGAGGGACGGGAGAGAAATTTGTAAACGTTACGCGAGGTTTACACACGTTACGATTTACACTTGTCGCCGTTGTCGCGAGGACTAGGTGAGAGAACGCGTTATCGCTCCACGCTCACAATCAGGCGCAACGTCGCCGATGCACGTGCGCGACACGATTATGCAACACGCGCTCGACTCGCCACGATTACGCTGTTAAATGACATTCTATGCTAATTAGATCTAGTCGGCGCTGTGGCCGTGATTATGTTTACAGAATGCGACGGCAATTGTTAGAATGATTCATTCACGTGACTAGCGTTGCTGTTTGATAAATGGAATAGCTTTCAGAATGGGATAATCAAATTCCGAACTTTAAGCGCTTCACATTAAAGATGCCTTGGAAAATATTTTTTTAAATGTTATTAAAATAATTTTTTGTAACACTAGACACTACAGACGCGCGCTTCGCACGCGCTATTTAGTTTTAACACTATGCTATTACTATTACACTATTAACTCCTTGATACACACAACTGTTAATATTCAATGACAGCTGCAAATGAAGTAAGCGCAGCAAGAGAACCAATCGGCATCGCGGAAAAGCGACAACAATAAACTTCACATCTCCTTTTTAGAAGAGGATTTAGAAATAAATAAAATACATTTATACACACACACATATACATATACATATATACTATTGAACTTTATGACTGCATTCCGATATTCATTGTCAGCAACTTTCAGTATACTGAAAATCTATAGTATACGTGACGTAAAATATAGATTTGCAGTACTGACAGTGAATATCGGAATGCAGCCTATATTGTTTACGTTATCCCAAAAGAATACAGTCAAATAAAATATAGCTTATATACCATCACGCTATAAATCATTACGATTTAATTTCAGAAAAAAATCGACTCTTAAATTTAACCTCGATTAACTTATTGATATTCTAACACTGTGCGTTGTTAACTTAATTTGATGAAATTGTTATGAATCTATAGTATAACGATGTTGTTAGAAATGCAAAGAGGAAAACGTCACTGGAAAATGACACTTAATTTACGAGACCATTAACAATAATTTCCGAATTAAATTAAAATTACTTTACTACCATTCGCCTTAAATTCGATCGGGCCATTGGAGACGCTGGGACGGACGGGGAAACGTGAGAGAGTATTAAAGTTAAAACGGGGCCTCTCCCCGTCGATCGCGCGCGCTGTAAATTACAGGCTTTGCGGTAAAAGTTCGTGACGAGTTTGAGGAGGCTATGTAAATCCGCTATAAATAACAGCGGCAAAAAGCGAGAACCGGCGCGACGGCGGCCTCCGTCAATATCCGCCAGTTGATGGGAGTCTTGTCGTCGCCGGTGCGATTAGCCCGACGCGAGAGGAGGATCCGCTCGCGTTTCCAGCCGACGAGCGTCGAAAGAAAGGGCGACGTGCCCTTGCCTCGCCTGCTCGCGCCTGCTGTTCGTGATTCCGCGCCTAAGTAAACCCGTTAACGCTTACTCTCCGCGGGCGAGCGAGTGGTGTGCGTTAACGCAGCGGTGTAAACGCCATTGCTCGTAGTGTTAAATTGATGCTCTTGACCCGTTGATAATGCACGGCCATCTCTAAACTCGTTTACGCGCTCTAGCCAGCTCTCTGGCAGTCTCTTGAGTAATTTAGTGCTCTCGCCTTCTCCGGGAGTGACGTGAGCGTGCGTTTATTTGAACGGCAATCCCGCGCGTTGCAACTCGTCGATGCAATTCGCTTTCTTGCCCCTCAAGTTTAAATCGCGCTCTTCATCGCGCTGAGTTTGAGTGCTTCAGTGCGGGAGTTCTGCGTATAGGTACGTCCGTCGGATTAACGCGTGAAGCGAAACAGATACCGAGTTTACGAGGAATTGCACCCTTTCATTTTAACAATACTAATCTATACTAATTTTTTTTTCAATGTATTTTTAAGGGCAATCATCACGTCTCCGTCTCGGATGTTTGTTTCTCCAGCTCGTCGTTGCCAAAACTGCCAAGTATAGAAAAACCGAGGGGCAACTTTCAATCCACAAAGGATACACATGCGCGTGATGCGTATTCCGTCAGCGTCGCCGTGCGCAACGCGACGATCTTGACAGCCGCATGCCGAATGAGCCCTCGACTCAGCCTCGACCCTTTGCGCGACAATAGGCATTCTGCGGCGAGAAGGACCGCGATCGACGCCGACAAAGCGCGGACGGGGAAGGAGAGAAGCCGACGAGAGCCGTTCGGGATCTGAATTGATAGCGAACTAGGAGAGAGAGAGAGAGAGCATCGCGCGGATGTGCATCGCGGCATTAAACATGCAGTCGGACGGCGATGCAACCCGACGCGATTCGTCGGCCGGCCGCGTTAGATGGAATTTCCGAGTGGCTGCCGCCCTCCCGAGATTCGTTTGACGCGCGCCACCAGGAATTCCTGGTAACGGGAAACTCGGCAAAATTTCAAGTTCTTCAAACGAAATTAATTTAATTCCAATTGGTTCAACAGCGAGCTTCGTCGTGCAGGTCCGCGGTGGTTTTCAATCGATACTAGAAGTATTGTACACGAAACGGGTCCGTTTGCTCTCTAATGGAATTTCAACACGCGTTTCTGTTTCACTACTTGATACAGTTCGTGTTTTTCCGAATTTATCTTCGATTATGTAATACGGAGTGACAGAGAACATTTTATAACATTTTATTGTTGGGGAGAAAGAAAGTATTAAAGAGTATTATATTATTATAAGAATAATATATGTATATTAGGGTGTGTCATTTTGGAGCAACTTTTTTTTTCATTTCACGAATAGCATATATACTTGCAGGAAGGTAAAATAAGATACCTGTTAAAATTTTAGCCCTTAATATTAATATTAACAGGTCGCTCATCGCGATTTTTTATTTTTCATTTAGTAAGATAGAAAAAATTTTATAACTATCTAACAAACAGTAATACAGCATTGTGCATCTTCACGAGATGCTATTTCTCTTTTTTTGTTGTAGTAATATAGGAGCATTCTTCTTAAGCGCTTGCAGAATGCTCCTATATTACTACAACAAAAAAGAGAAATAGCATCTCGTGAAGATGTTATAAAAATTCACTCTTTAATATTGCATCAGTTAAATGCTCCGGTATTTTCACTTATGATTAAATACGCATAGTTTGCATCAAAACTGACGAGCGAACGGCCGAGCTTTTTGAATGTTAATGACGTGTGTTTTCCTGTCTCATTATTAAAAACAAAATGTGCTTGCGAAAAAATTGGATTTATAAAGTGTGCTTGGTGTAAGTCAGTTCTATGTTTCACTCGTTTTTTTTTTATTTTAATCAATCTAAAGTTTGTAAAGTTACAGAGCAAGACGACGAATAATCGCAATCATTTTATTATAATATTCTTCTTTTGTACGCCTTTTTTATTGTAACCTTTTTTTATACCTATACAAAACTAATAAATCCAATAAATATACATACAATTTTTTTAATATTATGTAAATATATCCCCGCCAATATATATATATATTTTTTATTTATATTTTTTTTATTTTTATATATTTTTATTTTTTTTCTCGGCAACGGTTGAGAAGCGCATCGTCTCCGTACAGCATTTGTCACTTCTATATCAATACTACATTTTAGTAAAATTTCGACAAAATCGGTGACCCCGAGGGTTGACCCTTCCCTTGTAAGATATATTTTATTTTAGCTAGCCACACTTATTTTCGAGTCCTTCTCCGATTCGTGAGACCGCTCTACTTTGTCGCATTGTTATTTTCATTGTGATTAATATTTTTAAATTTATAATATATAGGAATTCGAAATACAGAGTCTGAATAAGATGTTTATAAGATATATCAGGCCAAGAAAATGATTTGAGTCTAAACTAAACTTATTATAAGAGATTGTAGAAAATGAAGAAAAAGAATTATTACAAGTATTTGGATTTGTTAAAGAATTCTTTTAAAAACTTATAATTTTTTTTAACACAAATAATGTGGAAAACTAGAAAATCGAAAAACGTTCAACGGTCTACTGGATCGGAATGTGGTGAGCTAAGGTTAAAAAAACTGAAAAAAAAAAGAGTATGATTGATAAAGCCGCCTTATCAATCAAAATTTATTGAAATAACGACGGAAATTAAGAGGTTCAATGTGGACAGTCGGACGCTGAAAATTAAAATTTTCAGCCCTGGAAAGATTCGATATAATCGATCGCATCGGGTTCGACGCACTGTATGACACACGCAATTGTAGACAATGCGTACGTCTGTCGGAGTGCGTGGAATGGCGTGAATGAGCGTCAGCTTCGTCGTTGCAACTCGATGCTGCATTTAGCGCGATCGAACGATGACTGGTCGATGGAGCGCACAATGCCGGTAATGGGGTGTGGGTCTTCTCGAGACGCGACAACGACCGCGATAATGACTCTCGCGCGCGCAAACAGACACACGCGGTAGAGCCTGTGACGCGTGCGTTATGCATAAAATGCCGGATTTCTAAATTGCGCGCAATTGCCGGAAACGCATGGCGCGGCGTATAATCGTGCGCTCCGCGCGCGAGAACTGTCAAACTCTTGTCAGTTTCGACTTCTGCCGCCGATGGAAACGAGAGTCAATGACTCGCCTGTGGCAACACGCGTTGCAAGCGTATACGCATCGCCACGGCCGCAAATAGCCGCGAGAAACAGACGAGTCGCGCCGGGCATTTAACCGAAGCTTAGGAAATTATTGATCACCGGAAGCGCGGCCGCAGTCGGATAAATCTACGCGCCTGAAATGTTATTCGTGCCTCGAGTGAAATCCTATTATACATCTGCTCGATCGTTTCCCCCATCTCTTCCTATCTCCGTCTTTCTATTGTTTGTAAAATTTCTCCACGATTCTGACTACTAGCAGCTTTATTTATTTCATTAAAAAATGAAATAGGTTCAATAACATTGTCTCGGACCATTCGTCATGAATTTTACGAAGACTTAAATGAGTTTATGAGTCAATATTTCTCAGCTGGTTGAAAGTAACGTAGCGTAATCAATTTTAGTGCCGTAATTTTCTAGTCCGCAAATAAGGTAATGCGTTTAGTCGGTACTACGTCTTACGAAGTGAAATATTATATGTATAATGTAACGAAATTGAGAAGTGCGCTTGAACAGCGTCCATTCATAAGTGATTCGCGATTCGCGAACAAAGTCATTCCGCTCGAATTCTACAAGCGGTCTAGCAACGGAGCGCCTAGAAGTGAAACGAAGTCGAATGGGGCTCGGGCTCGCGCAATTTTCCGGCCGTTACAGAGTCTCGACCGTATTTCAAACT